GGATTTGCATTTCATTGACGTTGAGGAGACTTCTGAAGTCCATTCTTGACTCAGCAGGCAAGACCCAGAGATTCATTAGTAATGTCTGCCATGGGCTCCACAGGGAGAATGTCAGTATGCAGGCCATGCTTTTGCCACCCCCACTCGGACATCTCACTTGACAAATGTCCCCTGAGGGCAGGGATGGAGCCTTATTGAACTCCATGTCATGTACAGTGTTCAGCCTAGCACCCAGCCCAGCAAAAATTTAGTAAGTGTTTGCTCTTGGGATCCTTCCATTCTGAGTTCTCTTTTGGAGTCTGGCCAAAATGTTTCTTCATTCTTCAGTAGAGGCCTGTTTCTGGTGGAATAATAAACTGCAGGGTCTGGTCAGGGTCTGTGTTTCTACTCATCCCAGGCCTGGCTCCCTCCCCCACCGCCCTGTGCTCTGGGACGGATGGAGACAGACAGATTCTCACCTGGGAGGTGGAGTGGGGGGAGCCAGAGGGTAAGGCCTGTCGAACATGTGCATGTGGTAGGCTGGTGGGGAATATACGGGCGGGGGCTCTTCATCAGAGCTATCGGGTTCTAAGGTCCTTTCCAAGATCTAAATCAGGGACGACAAAGAAGACATATTAACGACACTTCCTTGAATGTAAAGAACGTTCAGAGAAGACCAAGTATGGGCAAGGTTGGGCAGCAGAGCACTCTTGGGCACCTGGGTGGGAAGGTACATCGACACAACAACCATTCAGGCAGGCTGCTAGGCTGGGGTCGCTGACGCTAACGTGTGGCTGCCCCTGCCCCTCACTCAACACACTCGCCAGACAGGAACGCACAAGGAGCCCAAAGAATGGCCAACGCAGCATCAGTCACCCGAGCAAAGTTCCAAACAGGCAAAAAAATTATGTAATGCACACAGCAGAAGGGAGAGCGGGGTGTGGGTGGGAGACACTTCATGGGGTGGGTGAGGATAGGAGGTGGCACAAGGGGACTCCAGGTTCTCGTGTCACGGCTTCTTGATCTGATAACATGGGTGTGTTCACACTGGGCCGCAGCTGTTTAGGTTTATTGCTTGGGGTCTGGGTTTATTTATTTAGTTTTCAAAGGGCACTCAACCCCTCTCTCCAACTACTGCCATCTCTGTCCTCTCACCTCAGCCTGAAACACACGGGCGAGGCAGGGAGAGGTCCCTGTACCCATTTTACAGATCAGGAAACCCAGTGGCACGGCAAAAGTCACATCCCGCTTCTAAAACCGCGTCTTCATCTTGGTCTCCTAACTCCCTAGCAAGGGTCCTTCCTCCAGGCGCACTGCCTGCAGCCCAGGGTGGGTAGCCGGGGCGGGCAGTGACAAGAAGAATGCCCGAGGGGCCTGATATGCCTGCCAATGTCCCTCTTCATCTGGGAGATGGGGAGGGGTGCTTCGCTTCAGGCAGCCGCTTGCTTCCTCCTCCCTATCTCTCTGTTCCCATCTCCTCCCTAACCAGACACAGGGCCGGGGCCTCAGGAAGTTGTGGGCCAGAGTCGGAATGGCAAGAGCGTTTGCAGAAGTCCCTGCTACCGAGGCTCCTGCTTCCACCTCTGCAAGCACGGCTGTGCTGACGCTCTGCCCCGGGCCGGGTCAAGCCCAGGCACACTCAGGCCCCGTCGAGAGGGGGTGCGCACATCCACATACACACTCACACGCACATGCATGTGCTCACACACTCTCTGCACACAGCCAGCCTGGCTCAAGGAGCCTTCCACCCTGGAATGCACTTAGGCTCCTTCCTGTGAGGTGGAAAGTAGTACTTAAACAGATGCTTTCGCAAGAAAAGAAGAATGTAGCTGTTTGCAGGCCCTCGGTCTGTGCTCCCCAAACGTCCACAAGAGGAAAACCAGGCAGAGGAGGCTGGGAGCTCCACTCCTGGTGTGTGTGTGTGT